CCTGGAATCTTTTCAACTCATGATACAAGGAATTGGAATTTGGGACCTTTTACACTAATAGCAGAAACCAACAAAGACCTGGAGCAATTACTGAAGAAGGTCAAGGAGGAAAGTGTCAAGGTAGGTTTAATGTTGAACATTAATAATAACTTTATTTTTATATCCCGCCTTTTGCCTAGGCAATCAAGGCAGCTTACATAGTCTAAAAACAGTTTAAATAAAACATACCTTGTAACAATTAATCCCCCCCTTTAAAAGAACAAATACAATATTAAAATAAAAACCTAAGATTAAAAACAACCTACATTCCAGCGCACTAATAGGTGTATAGAAGGGGTGTCTAGCGAGGGAGGAACACATAACCGGTGGAGCAATCTATTCTAGGAAGGCCTGCTGGAAGAGGTCTGTCTTGAGAGCTTTTTTGAAGCTGTCCAAGTTGGTTATTTGACAGATTCCTTCCGGCAAGGCATTCCACAATCTAGGGGTGGCAGCAGAAAAGGTCCTCTGGGAGGTTACTGCTAATCTAGTTTTTATTGGTTGAAGCAGATTCCTCCCAGAGGACCTGAGGTTGCGGGGCGGTTTATATGAAAGAAGGCGATCCCTTAGATAGGTTGGACCCGAGCTGTAGGGCTTTAATGGTAATCACCAACACCTTATACTGTGCTCGGAAATCGATAGGCAGCCAGTGAAGAGATTTCAGAACAGGTGTTAGATGATCACTCTTCGATTTACCAGTGATCAGCCTGACTGCCATATTTTGTACTAACTGTAGTTTCCAAACTAGGTATAAGGGTAGCCCCATGTAGAGTGCATTGCAGAAATCGAGTCGTGAGGTTACCAGCACATATACCACAGTTTCTAGGTCCTTTACTTCCAGGAAAGGGTGCAGCTGGCGTATCAGCCGTAGCTGATAACAGGCGCTCCTGACTGTCGCATTCACCTGATCTATCATGTGAGTCTAGGAGCACCCCCAGGCTGCGAACACAGTCCTTAGCAGAGAGCATGACCCCATTCAGGACTGGAGATTGTAACCCAAACCTGGTTTGGGGGCCCCTACTATGAGTATCTCCGTTTTATCTGGATTCAGCTTGAGTCAGTTTATCCTCATCCAGTCCATTACCACCTCAAGACATTGACTGAGGAGAGAAATGCCATCTGTCGTCATGGCTGCTGACCGAGACATGGAGAAATATATTTGGGTGTCATCCACATATGGATAACACCTCACCCCATGTCTACGGATGATCTCTCCCAGTGGCTTCATATAGGTGTTAAATAGCATCGGGGAACTAAATAGAGCACTGGAAGATAGTGGCCTTGGAGAGGTCTCTTCCATGGGGTCACCATGAGTCAGGGGCGACTCGAGGGCAGTTAACAACAACACCTTTCACACATGGAATAGAAATGTTTTCTACCACTAAACTATATAGTCCTATGGCTCTTCTTAAAATGTACTGAATGGCTTTTAGTCTTTACTTTTGCTATGGATTCCACTCTTCTTTTTTTCAACAACTGCATGCTAATTTTATTTCCTGCACTCCTTTCTTGGCATCATATTAATGTGTCTCTCCTGTCCCAATCAATGTCTGTTTGTCAGTCTCATTCATTTTTTAAAAAATCATTAATCTCATCCTTTTCCCTACTTTCTTTCCCCACTTGCTACTTTTAAAGTTTTGTTTATGTTCCAAATGCTTGGCTTTCATCTCCTTTTTACTTGTCTTTGCTCTTCCCCTCCTTCCCCCTCCAATCTTTCAGTTCTTATCCTCTCTAGGGAAGTTGCTGTAACTCTGAGGCTAGCCTTTCTTTTATTGATTGCCAGCCCCCTTTTTAAGCAGAAACTAATTTACATTCTTGAGTCTCATTGTTTCTGACACAGGACTAGTGATTTCTGAATGAAGCTTTCATGTTTTTCCCCCTCCAGCATTGCTCAAAATTGTTTCCCTTTTTACAAAGGCAGCCTGGAGAATAAAGAGAAATAGCAGTGTTATTTTATTTTATATTGGAAGCTGTTTTCCTCCTTCAGTCAATGTGTTACAGACTTTGTCACTGGGAAAGGAAGAATTCAGTAAATCACAGTCCAGGAGTCCAGCCAAATTGAGTAGAGTGGTAGCTTAATGTGGAGCAAATGTGGAGTAGCGATTTGAGTGTCAGACTACCACTCTGGAGACCAAAGTTCAATTCTCAGCTTGGACATGAGACCCACTGGGTGACCTTGGACAAGTCCCATGCTCTCAGCCTCGGGAAGGCAATGGCAAACCTTCTCTGAACACATCTTGCCAAGAAAACTCCATGATAGGTTCGCCTTAGGGTTGCCATAGTCAGAAACGACCTGAAGGCACACAACAACAAGTAGCTTATTGACTGATGGGTAAGGGACAAGTTCTCATGCCCTCTCTAGGAGTATGACCGCCACCATCATCTGTCTGGGCAGGACCTGGAGTTGGGTCAAGTGGCTAGAGGACCTGAGAGTATCCTTTCTAGTCCATTAGTACGTAGAGTAGGATTTTAGCAATGCCATAATCTGCAGGGTATTCATACTGCAATTTGTTTCCTTAGGAAGAGTGTCATCCATACAGTTGTACTGGGATTATTTATTGCTAAACATGTATATTGTGACAATGTATGTCACAACGTATGTTGTGAAAGAAAGAAAGAAAGAAAGAAAGAAAGAAAGAAAGAGAAATGGGTTCATCATTTCTGATTAGGATGGATCTGTGGTTTCAGCGTTTGGACCTGGCACATACAAGTTAAATTCTCCACTAAGCTATGAAACCCACTAGCTGATATTGGGCCTGTTATTTGATTGATATCACACCTTTTCCCAGTACAGGACGCAGAGTGGCTAATAAGTAAAAACAAAATACAGATACCCTCCCCCAACTATTGGTTTGTTGTTGTTGTTGTTGTTGTGTGCCTTTAAGTCATTTCTCACGATTGGCAAAATTTGTTCAGAGGAAGTTCCCCTACTTCCCCTGAGGCTGAGAGCATGTGACTTGCCTAAGGTCACCCAGTAGGTTTCATGGCTGAGCTAGGAATCGAACCCTAGTCTCCAGAGTCATAGTCTGATATTCAAACCACTATGCCATGCTAGCTTAAAAACAATTAAACCACAATTCAATTAAAAACACAAAGTTAAAACATAATAAAAAGATACAAGCACAATATACTGCATTAAAAACTCCTTCTGCTACGACAATTTATAAGCCCATGTTGGTGAACCAGTTGCACGCATGCCCGTTCTGGCACATGAAGCCATTTGAGTGGGCACGCTGCCATGGAAGCCCAGGGCTGGGAGCTGGAGGGGCGGGGAGGGGAGGGGCACATGGCCAGCCCAGCTTCTTGCCATGGCCTGGAGGGTTGTGGGTTGCATCGAGAAGCCCCATCACTTTCTCCCAGAAGCCCCACACTTTTTCAGGGAACCCCTCTCCCTGGCCAAACAGCCCTCCGGCTCCCAGGGCGGCAGCTTTCCCCAGATCCCAGCGGCAGGGTTTCTCCCGGCACCTCTCAAGTGAGCAGCGCCTTGAGGTTGTTGTGTGCCTTCAAGCCCTTTCTGATTTAGGGAGACGCTATCCTGGGGTTTCCTTGGCAAGATTTCTCCAGAGGAACTTTTGCCATTGCTTTTTTCCGAGGCTGAGAGAATGTGATTTGCCCAAGTTTACCTGGTGGATTTCTGTGGCTTCATGGGGAATTGAATCCTGATCTCCCAGAGGACTTGTTCAGCACTCAAACCAGTATGCTACACTGGTGTCCTAAACACAGTAAACCTGTTACAGGATTTTCTTAGCAAGATTTGTTAAGAGGGGGTTGCCATTGACATCCTCTGAGGCTGAGAGTGTGTGACTTGCCTAAAGTCACCCAGTTGGTTTCTTCCCCAAGCAGGGAATTAAACCCTGTTCTCCTGAGCCATAGTCTAACATTCAAACCACCACACCACGCTTGCTCTTGTTGGCCATATAGCTAAGTACAGTAACATCCAAAATCCAAAAAATAGTGATATTTAGCCACTGATGTTGGGGCTGCATCCGCACTGCAGAAATAATCCAGTTCAGTGCCACTGTAACTGCCAGGGCTGAATACTATGGGATCCTGGAATATGGACAGTGAGGGAACTGCTGCAGTTACGTGCAACAATTGTGGGATGGTTATCTTCTTGCCTATGGATGTAGGTAACATCACCCTGCACCATTGCAAGTTGGTAGCCCTGTTGGAAGAGTAGGTCCAGCAGCTCGAGCCCCGGGTAGGGACACTTCAGCATATTAGGGAGCAAGAGGTTTTTCTGGGCAGAACAGGATGGACGGTCCTGGATGGGGAACAGGAAGTTTCTTCAGAGGAGGTCACTTCACATACACAGGAGGTAGACAGTTGAAGGAATGTCACACATAGAAGTAGAGAAACCAGGGATTGTTCTGTGCTACAGAATCTATTTGAAGCTCTCTCCCTTATCAGGGATGACGAAGAAGAACAGCAAGGATAGTCATCAGGGACAGTGCAGGGGACCCTGAGTGTACCACCACAGGGAATAGTTGCTGCTAAGCCTTGGAGGAGGTGTGTGGTGGTGGTGTTGGGGACTCCTTGTTGAGGGGCACAGAATCAGTAGTTTGTGGGACTGATAAGATGTCTTGGGAGGTGTGTTTTCTCCCTGGGCAAAGGTCCGTGATGTGACAGAGAGGCTGACAAGACTTGTCAAGCCTACTGACCATTACCCCTTTCTTTTGGTCCTTGTGGGAACCAATGATACTGCAAGGCACAGCCTTCAGAATATATAAGGAGTTATGAAGCTCTGGGTAGGAAGCTGAAAGAGCTGGATGCACAGGTTGTTATCTCATCTCTTCTCCCAGTTGAAGGACATGGTCCAGCAAGGGAGAGGAAAATAGCAGATATAAACAAATGATGCTGCTGAGAACGATTTGGATTCTTGGATCATGGTCTGCAGTTCCATGAGGGGGGATTTCTGGCAATGGATGGGTTGCATCTCATGGCACTTGGCAGAAATGTTTTGATCAGGGGGGCTTTAAACTAAGTTATGTGGGGAAGGAGACAGTATCTTGGAAGACAGGAGTACGTCATGGGTTGAACATAATAGTCAAGCTGTTATAGAGGGAACAAGACAAATAGTGCAGGGAGAAGACTACCACAGGCAGCTAGGAGGGAGAACCCATGGTCTTCAGTGTCTCCACACTAATGCACAGAGCATGGGAAATAAGCAAGATGAACTTGAACTCCTAGCACAACAAAGCAAATACAATATAATAGGCATCCCTGAAACCTGGTGGGATGAGTCTCGTCATTGGAATGTAGTAATAGAGGAGTATAACCTTTTTAAGAGAAATGGGCCAAACAGGAAAGGAGGAAGAGTAGCATTATATGTCAGGGATGTTTACACCTGTGAAGAGATCCAGGACTTAAATCCTGGTAGCCAGGTGGAGAGCACCTGGATAAAAATTAAAGGGAAGGGAAACAACAGGGATGTTATTGTGGGAGTCTATTACAGACCCCCAGGTCAGAGGAATTGGATGATGCCTTTATAGAACAGATGGGCACACACTGAGAAAGAGAGGAGAGCAGGGGCCAAATGAACCACCTGTGGGAGAGAGTTCCACAGCCTTGGATTAGCCACCAAGAAGGCTCTCTCCCTTGTGTCTCACCAGATGTGCCTGTGATGGTGGTGGGAATGAGAAAAAGCCTTTTCTCTCAACCTGACTTGCCTCACAGAGTTGTTCTGAGAGCTAAGAAAGGATAAGGGAGTTGTGTACCTTGCTTTGGAGGAAAGGTGGAATACTAATGTAATGAACAGATAAATAAGTCACATTGGGATTCTACTTCCATCTCAACTTCTTGCCCTCTAGCAAAACACCTGTTTCTTTATCACTGACATTACAGACTGAAATTGAACTGATGAAGGTCTTCTTTCTCATCAGTCTCTGTCTAGGCTGGAACACCAGAAACATTGGAAGTTGCTTCATACAGAAAACCTCGGCTCATCTAGTTCAATAGTGTGTACCGATTATCAGCAGCTTTTCAGAATTTCAGGCATGGTGTGAAGACGGCGAGATGAATCTCTTGAATTTCTGCCCATTTCTGTCAGAAGGATTCTCCCATGAGAAGGATTGTGATCATTTAGCCTTAGGAATTACAATGTTAAGCTCTGTCATTGCCACTGGGTATTATTTATTGGCAAGGGTTATTGACTCTGTTCCTAGCATACTTTCAGAATTAATCTGCAGTTTTGCTTCTGCTTTTTCCATTCCCCACCTTCAAAGGCATGAGTAGGGGCAGTTTCCTTCCCTGGGACTAAAGAAGGCCAAAAAACAAAAAGGGAAAAACTCACTGGATTAACCCTCCCAACATATTTTTAAATGTTAAACACCACAGTCATCTGAAAAAGCCTGTCAATCCTAAAAGCTTTCAGAAGAGGAAATATTTTGCTCAGACCACCATCAGGAAGTATGCTGAATTATGGAGAGACGTTTTCTGTTTGAACTTGACCCCATTGTGAAAGGCTCTCTAAATGAACTTTTGTATTCATCCTAATTGTACAGTGCCAACAGGTAACTGCTCTAATGGGATTGCGTGTTAAGTGTCCCTTATTTTGTTGTTGTTGATTTAATGTTCTTTGTGGAACTGAAATACAATTGGTCCTCTGTATCATTGGCTTCTTTATCCACTGATTCAAGCACCCACAGCTTGAATATATATTAAAAAAATATAAAATCCAAAAAGCAAACCTTGGTTTTACCATTTTATGAAGGCGCACAACAAGAAGAAGAAGTAATTTAATGACTGATGGCTCAGGGACAGGTT